GAAAGAAGAAAAAAAATGCCAAAAACAGATAGATTTCTCTGAAAACTTCACTCAATAATATTAATAATCAAAAATACGAAAATTAATCCACAAGCCGGGTTAAATAGTTGCGAAATTATGAAAAATTACCAAAAATGACTAAATCTCAAAAAACTTACTGAAATAAAATATGAAATAAAAAAGTAAGTTGCCAAAATTTTGGCTCAATTTTGATTTTAAATCACCTAGAAAAAAGGAAACAAAATATTACCTTAAATGATAAAAATAATAAAATTAACTAAAGTAACTCAAAACGGGTCAAATTGCCTCAATTAAGGAAATATTTGCGATTCACTTTCCATCTTTGCGGAACGTCCTTCATCAATCGCCCCAGATTGGAAAGAACTCCTCCTCGAGTTCACACGAGCTTCTGGCGGTAATCCCGGAGGAAGATCTTTTGGCATCTGATCAGAAAACTTCGTTAGTGGCTGCTGTATTTCTACTGGTAAGCCTGAATCCTCGTTCACTTTACTAGACGGAGAAAGTAGGTTGGCATTTTTACTACCGGAGCACGGATGGCTTTTTCTCGACGAGGCGCTAACACAATCTTCTTCCCTTTGATACTAAGGGAATATGTATTTTTCCGTCTATCATCAATAACACTGTGATCATACTGTTAAGGTCGTCCTAACAATACATGACACGTATCCATAGGCACCACCTCACACCAAGCATTATCAAAATATTTTTTTCCAATCGAAAAGAATACTAGACTTCGGTTTTCTACTGTTACCTCGCTATCTTTATTCAACCATGATAACTTGTATGGCTTGGGATGACGATCTATTTTCAGTTGTAGTTTCTGAATAGCCTCTTTGGATACTGCATTCTCACAACTGTCGCTATGAACGATCAACTTGCAGACTTTTATCGACACTGTACATGTCACGTGGAAAACATTGGTCCTCAACCAATAATCGTCTGAATTGCCCTTGGGAGTCAGCAAACTCTTGTGAGCGACTAGAGTTACCTGGTCATCTCCATACAACACATCCTCATCTCCATAATCATCATACACAAATTCTCCAATCTCCTCGAATTCGTCTACCACGTCTTCCTCAATCAGAAATTTTTATTCTTTTGACCATCATGTTTCTTAGCAATCAATGGCTCTATGTCCCTGTTCACCACGTTTGAAACACTTAATACCCGAGCTAGAATTGTCTCGTGATGGTTGATAAGCAGGACAAGATTCTTGAGGTCGAACTGGCTGACTACATTCGTCTCTGACCATTGGCCTCCTATTTTGCTACTTTTTCATGGCAAGCGCACGCTGGTATGCTTCAGAAACTGTCCACAATAAATGATGGCTTAGAATATCCTGCAGGGTCTGCCTTAATCCACCCAAATACCGTGCTACCATTTGCTCTTCTGTCTCAAACAAATCATTCTGAGCCACCAAATGATAAAACTCCTTCGTATAATCGTCAACTGATCTCGTGCCTTGCCTCAACGAATGGAGTCGCTGAAACAAGGTTTGAGTGTAGCTAAAAGGAAGGAAGCGTTATTTCATCTTCTTCTTCATCTTTTCCCAATTAGTAATCTTGGATTTACCTTGCCGCTCTCGTGCACGCTTCAATTGTTCTCACCATGCAGAAGCCCTTCCCTTGAGTTTAATGGAAACCAATTTTACTTTGATACGATCTGAAACCTCCTTATACTAAAAAATATGCTCCACTTCATTCAGCCAATCAATAAATCCTTCAGCCTGTAACATACCAGCAAACTCCGTCAGATCCACTATGAAATCGAGGTCTACATAGTGATCCTCCCATCCACGATGCTCCCGGACTTGAGTACGATTGTGATAGGGTTTTCGAAATTGGTATCGAAATTGTGACCCTCTACATCATGATTACCAAACTCTTGTTCCACCAAACGTTGGGTTAACTCTGCAACTTGTCTCTGCAAATTTTCAATTGTCACATCCAGAACATTACGATCACGGTGTGAGACTTCCTCAATCGGAACCTGCCCTCGACGACCACGACCACGTCCACCAATCATTGTAACTGATGAAAATTTCACCGCAGAAAAAATACTGACATTCTGATACCAACTGAGATCGAGTAGGATAACGATTATCCTATAGGCTAGTTGCAACAGACGATTCGCAAGAAAGAAGAAGAAATAAACGCCAAAACAGAGAGATTTCTCTGAAAACTTCACTCAATATTATTAATAATCAAGAATACGAAAAATAACCCACAAGTCGGGTTAAACAGTTGTAAAATTACGAAATTATGAAAAATTACAAAAAATGACAAAATCTCAAAAATCATACAGAAATAAAATATGAAATAAAAGAAGTTATTTGCCAAAATTTTGGCTCAATTTAGATTATAAATCACCTAGAAAAAAGGAAACAAAATATTACCTTAAATGGTAAAAAATAATAAAATTAACTAAAATAACTAAAAACGGGTCAAATTGCCTCAATTAAGGAAATATTTGCGATTCACTTTCCATCTTTGCGAAACCTCCTGCATCACACACACCAAGAGAGCATGAAGTTTTGAACTAAAGGATATTGTGTGATTAAAATTTAGATTTTAATTTAAATCATAATCAATAATTTATTTTAACAATATATTACATAGGACTCGCACATTTTAACTATATATATATATATATATATATATATACTGATCTTAATCCCCGTCAAACAAGGGTAAGTAAAATGTACTCGAGAAGATGAAATTCTTAAATGTTTATTTGGCCCCCTTTCCTGTAGTATTATTCTCCACCACACATTTACACAATAAAATATTTTACACTCAAACCAATAGAATTTCTTTATTTTTTAGTCACACATTATTCAAAAAATACTATTCACAACTCTTTAATTTCCCAAATAATGAGTGACAAACATTACGATTTTATATTGCAAATAATGTGTTTAGACTGAATAAAAAATTAATTTGGGAGAGTTTCTAATTCTCCCCCACAAATATTTTGTTTAAATTACTTCAAATTTTCTGTTTTAAGTTATTTCTTTACAATGTTTACACATTCTTATAAAATTATGGTCCCGTTTGGTACTCATTTTTGAAATAATGAGAATGAAAAATATAGCTATTACGAGACCCACACAAAAAATAAAAAATCAATATGATGATTTTATGTGATGGATAACGATCATACTTTTCATTTTTGCGACCAAAAAATGGAAATCAAACGGGAGCTATATTTACTTTTTATGGTCTACGAAACAATAAATTTTGAGGTTAACTCTTTCATAAAAGCCCAATCCACAATAAATGTTGAGTAATCTATAACGAGAAATGAGACATGCAAGTGCAAACTCGTTACACCATCCACTGTATCTATGTTGCACCAATCGATTTATCTGTTAAATCAAAATATAAGAAGGGGAATGTTCCCCTACCAAGATTTTTGACAAGTAGTTTTGAAAAAAAAATAAAATCTCAACCCTTTATTTAAGTTAATCTAACGATATGAATGATTTAATTAAAATCCTTCAAAAGTTAAAAATGAAAACCCTACCACACACTCCAACCCTCCACGATCGATGTTTCTTGTGTCATCTCCTATTCTCTCTCACTCTATCTTCAAATTGAAAATCCAAATACGTCATATAGAAAACCCAAAAGAAATTTGAGCTTTTCTGGGCGTATAGGGTCTGTTTTTACAGACCCCTAACAGAATACACATATGCGTGGATCCCGTCGTATGTTTTTTTTAATGTGGGACCGACCCCTACAGTGAGGGGTCGGTAAGACTTCTGTGAAAATGCTCTGTACGCAGAGCATTTTTCAAGAAATTTTTATTGGAGTATAAAACGCCAAGAAATCACAATTTTTCTGCTCATTCCTCTTATCCGTTTAGATCTTGTCTACCCAATTACTTCTCCATTCTCTAAAGTCTCTCTGTGTACACATTTGTATGTATATAATCATGTGTAAAACTCAAAAAAGGAAAAAAAAAAATATCTACGACAGGAGGAAACTAGAGAATAATTTGAAACCAGATAACCATAGAATTGAATACTCTTAATTCAATCATATTTTCCAATAAAAAAGTTTAAACTAGTATTTTCTTCAATGCTGGGTCGTGAATTCAATTGAAAAAAAAAATATTTTTTTATTCAAAACATTGATGAATAAATTTCAATAACGGCACAGAATGTTGAAGGTATACTATTAAAGGGGAGCGTGGGTGGAGGAGGAGGATTTTGTGGGCGCTATGGGGTGGGGGGTACGGTTCCTTGGTGTTTGGGTAAGGTTAATTTCGAAATTTTATGTATTTAATTAGGTATATATGGACCTTTAGATTAATTTAAATAGAGGATTGAGAATTTTTGTCAAAATTATTTGTCTAAAACCTTAGTAGGTGGAACGCTCCCCGTATAAGAATTTCATAAATCAACCATCTTCAATTTTTATACCTTTTATATGAATAAATTTAACTTGCCGATTGGCTTCTAGGAGGGACTACCCCTATATAAGAAACATCTTCAATTTTTATAACTTTTATATGAATAAATATAACTTGCCAGTTGGCTTCAACAAAAGTTTTCACTATCCTAAATTAATAGCATGATAAAACACAATCAAGTTATTGATGCAACAAATGTCTGTGTTGAAACAAACATGTAATTCATTACGTGAATATTCCTGCACATTGATGTTAATAAAATATTGAGAATCAATCGTTCAAATTAATCATCACTGATTTTAATTAAAAAAAGCCCTTATTTGATAAAAATTAAATTATAGATTTTTATTTAAATTTAAATTAATAATTTAATTTAAACATATATTTTATGGATTCAAAAAATTTATATTTCATTAAATTTTCTTAAAAATCCGATTCTAATCAACTAAGAATAATTCTATGCACCCCTCTCCACCCAACTCCACTTCCATGCCCATGATTGGATCCTATTCCCACGTTTCAAGCCTCCAAGCATAACTATATAAATAAATAATTAGTACTCGCGCACACACTTCCTTTCCCTAACATGCCAACACCTCTTTGGCTCTTTCTCCACCTTCACAGCATCTGAATATCTCTAGACTCCATATACACGATTATATATTTCTCTCTCTAAATCGACAAAAGAAAATTACCTACCACAAACAATTACTTTCTCGAGAAATTACTGTTAACGGCAGATCAGCAAGAACCAGAAAAACCCTAGTCCATTTTCGCACTTCATTTTCAATTGATAAGAATTTATTATAATAAGTAAATGTTTGTGTAGAAAGCTTGATGAGGTTGTATCGTAGATGCACGAGGATTTTTATCCTCTGTTTGCTCGGTGTTTCTGTTTTTGTTCCAATTTTTCTCCTTTCGTTTAGGCTCAAAAACCTTAACTCTGAAGGTAAGTGTTATTATTATTATTTGGTTTATGTATTGATTTAAATGTTCATTCATTTGTTATTTGTTAGTTTAACCATGTTTGTTGATTTGACTTGTATTTTGATGCAGTATCGAAAGGATATGTGGAAGATTTATCGATTATTGTATGATCTCTCTTCTCTCACGTTATTTACATTCCTCTGATGTTACTTGATTTATTAACACGGGAAGTGGACTTTGGAAATCTGAATTTTTTTATTACCATTGAGGTTTTATATTCCTTTCTCATTAGTTGATTTTGAATAATTCTTTTTCAATTTTTACTTTTTTTGTTTGTCTGAGGAAGTAGAGCTCCATAAATTTGGTGTTACTTTCTATTTGTATTGTATTGTATTGGCATCATATAAGGGAAGAAAAGTATTATGGGATTTTAGTTCCAATCAAAGGTGCGTGATTGTGTTGTCATTCTCGATGGATGTCTTTTTCTCGTGCAATCGAATGCTTTGCTAACTATGCCAGACGAAGTACATATTGCTTTTTTATGCCTTTTAAGTTCTTGCCCTTTTCCGGAAATTGTATGATGCTTTCAGATTGAATAAAGTTGCAAAATTTCTTGCGCAGAAACACAGAACAGAGTCTCAAATACTTAGTGCAATTAAGCAGGTAACTGTTAATATGGGTCGGTCTTCTTTGAAGAAGTAGATCAATTTTGTTACTCATATCTGTGGAACGTGTATCATGGCTCAGGAAGAAGGTGAAGGTTTGAAAGAACCACCCTTGATCGTGTACAAAGATGGAGACCTCACTTCGGCAGTTAGTTTTAGTTCTACTGACGATAATAGAATTGGTGAGTCTGGAAATGTTGCAGATAAAGTTAATTTTTTGGGAAACAATGGTTGGTGTTATGTGTACATTTTATTTCATTATTATCTATTATTACTTGAGTTTCATTCAATTTTGCTCATATTCCAAGTTCAGTGTTCAATCTTGATGTGAAGGAAGATCGCCAAAAACCTCTGCAGAAGGATAGGTTGCCCATTTCTGGGGAAAAGGTGTGGAAGTTTTTGACTGCTGCAATTTTCATCCTTTTCTTTCCATTTATCTCAGACCATGAAAATTCAGTAATGACATTGCTACATAAGTGATAGCAGTTGCTGCTACATTAGTGTTATTTGGAAATTGAACTGTTTCAAGTATTCCTGGAGTTCTTATTTTTTGCTGCATTTGTTGCTTATCGTGAACTTAGATACCTAGCAAGACGAAGAAGATTATACTGTTTACCTTCTCTTAGTTCAGGGACAAACCGCAAATGTGACTACCAGAGTTATTAACCTGAAAACAATTTTATGGATGCACTATTTCAGCCTCAAGTAAATTCCTTTGAGAGCAAAATGAGGGAGACTATTGTGAAAAAGTTGTTAGCTCTGATCAGATTTGAATATTATGGTCTGTCCTTCTCTAAGGGAGAAATTTATTACATTTTTTAATTGGATAGAATTCGATTTTTATGGAATCTAGGTGAACTAGATCTCTGAGATATTTTGTATAGATATAAATAATAATTTGTTATCTCTGAGTCATGTTAAATAACATCACTTTTTTCATTTGCTTGTGGACTTCTTGTATTTTAAATTTATTGAATTCAAAGGTCTCAACAATTTGTTTTTTGTTTTGGTTCTCTCTCGCTCGATGTCTATTTTTATTTTTTTTAAATTTATTTTGTGTTGTGAGGAATCACACGAGAAATTGCTTCTAATTATATACACAAGGTGACATAGGTTCCAGTTTTCTCTGAAGATATTTTTATTTATTTAAAGTTGGTAATCATTCTATACTGGTTAGTGGAGTGGCATGTTCCTTGTCTTTCCAATTTTCCCTTTTCTTTAGCCCCTTCGCTATCAACTTTTCTTTCGCTTCTTTCCTCTTTCATCATTTTTATCTTTGGTTTTATGGCAGCAACATTCCCAGCTAAACGAGTTTCAACAAGATGAAAACGTACAGTATATGGCACGAAGGGCATTAGATGAGAAGGTTAAAGAGATGAAAGACCAGGTAGTGAGGGCGAAAGCATACTTGAATTTTGTACCACCAAATAGCAGCTCTCATTTTGTAAAAGAGTTGAAGCTAAGAATTAAAGAGGTTGAACGAGCTACGGATCAAATCACCAAATCTTCCTATCTGTCTAGGAGGTAGAATTCTATTTATTTCTCTGCCTATTCTCATTTTTCTTCTGATAAACCCCCTGATATTCTTCATTTTCCTTATTTCACGCGAAAAACGAGTTCATGTTAATTGAAAGATAATTTTGACTAGAGCTCATTGAACTAATGAGTGGTGATTAATATTCTTTAAAGTGAGCATCAATAGCAATGCTAGATTGCATTTAACATTGCAATTCTTTTTTCAATTTGAAAAGTGATTCTTTCTGTTGCTGAGCGATGATAATTTCATGTACAATTAGGCATATTTTGAAATGAGCTAAATGAGTTACGTTTTCTCATAAACCAGTTAACTTTTCAGTGCTCTGCAGAAGATGAAAGCTATGAATTCTACCCTGTTAAAAGCCAGTCGTATTTACCCTGACTGCTCTGCCATGGTGAAAAAGCTTCGTGCTATGACTTACAATGCTGAAGAGCAGGTGCGATCTCAGAAGATGCAAGAAACCTTTCTTGCAGGACTCGGCGGAAGAACTATACCGAAAGGCCTTCACTGCCTCTCTTTGAAGTTGACTGCTGAATACTTTTCCCTAGAGCCTGAGAAACGGGTGCTCCCCAACATGGATAAACTGCAAGATCCAGAGCTCTATCATTTTGCTGTTTTTTCTGACAATGTTTTGGCTTGTTCAGTTGTTGTGAACTCAACCATATCAACTGCTAGGGTAAGTTGCCACCATTTTTCCATAACTTGCCTAGTTGACAGTGGTTTTTTCTGTTTTTCATATTTTCAGATTTCAACATAGGATGACTGAGATGCTAGCAAGTTAAGTTGAATCGGAAAATCATGGAGAGTGTCCTAAAATTCGAGGAAGGATATTGACTGGGGGGAGAGAATATTACTTAGAAATAGAATTCTGTTATGAACCAACCCCTAACAGATTCTTCTATTTTTTGCATGCCTCTTTGTTCTTATTATGAGTTTTTGTTGCCCAAGGCGCAACCAAATTTTGTTGATATGATGGCGTACGTCCTATGGGAGTTGCAAGAATTATATTTTGGACTCTCTTGTGTTATTGTAGATCTATTGTGCACCAACACGGGCACGTGTGTCCGACACGATACGTGTCGCATGCGTCGATTTGTAATTTTTCAAAAAAGTACCGACACGACACGTCGTCGACACGTTCATTAAATTCCATAAAATTCTTCATTTATATAGTTTAAATCTAGTTTTATACTTATTATTGATTTTTTTTTGTTGAAATATTTTAAATATGAGTATTTATTTGTTATTTATTAATAATTTCGAGTTAAAAATATATAATAGTTATAGTAAAAAAGAAAAATGATTATTGTAGAGTGTTCGAAAAGTGTCGGTATCAACACGTGTCGGACATGGACACATTTACCCTAGTTAGAGTGTCCGTGCTACATAATGTAGATTCTTGTGTCCTCTATGTAGGGGGTTGCACCATATCATTTTCTATTAAAATTCTTGCTTACAAAACAGGTGTCATTATTTACTTCTTTCCATGTCTGTCACTATTCAATCTCATTTTTTCTAATAGGTGATAAAATTGCATTGAAATGTGGCTACACGTGAAATTCTGGAAAGTGCATTGATTTCATAAGAAAATGACGGTGGATCTATCTTCTCTTTCTTTTTGGAAAAAGAAATCTTCGGTGGTAATGAATGTTGAATATGGTTTAACCAATATTCCTTTTCCTTTTTTGTGTATACCATCTAATGGTAGAAAATTAATGGTAGTTTTAAGCATGGCAACGTATGATGACTTAATTTGACTGAGATCTGTTCGGGGAAGGAAAAATGAAATGACCCCTTGATTTTTAGTCATACACTAAATGATAGTGAATTTCTTTTCCTGTCAGGAACCAGAGAGAATAGTATTTCATGTTGTGACAGATTCCCTCAACCTCCCAGCAATATCAATGTGGTTTTTATTGAATCCTCCTGGCAAATCTACAATCCAGGTTGAAAGCATAGACAATTTTGGATGGTTATCCACCAGATATAATGCAACTCTGCAGAAGGAAGGCTCTGTTGATCCAAGATACATATCTGCACTGAACCACCTTCGGTTTTATTTGCCAGATGTTTTTCCTCTTTTGAAAAAGATTGTGCTTCTCGACCATGATGTGGTGGCACAAAGGGATTTAACAGGGCTATGGAATATTAACATGACAGGCAAAGTAAATGGTGCTGTGGAGACTTGCAATAAAGTAGAGCCTTCATTCCGTCGTATGGATATGTTCATTAATTTCACTGACTCCATGGTGGCCAAGAAGTTTGATGCCCAGACATGCACATGGGCTTTTGGGATGAATGTGTTTGATCTGCAAGAATGGAGGCGACACAATCTAACTGGAATCTATCACAAATACCTACATATGGTAAGGGAATATATGTTTTTCTATTCGTTGCAAGTTGTGAGTTTAATAAAGTTCTGTAAAATAGCCATTTAATGTTGCCACCTATACTTTTGACTCTTATCCTGTATTATGTCCGACAGGAAGAGAGGCCTGTTCTATGTTGTCTTGGGAAGATTGGACTTAAAATTGAGATAACTAATGCTTTATCAACTTTCTAGTCTCTTTTAGGGTGCTTTTATTACGAATAGAAAGTTCATATCTCGAACATTTTATGCACACACCTGTATTAACATCTGTTGCATTTACTTTTCACACATTTAAGGATCATGGTGCTCTTCCCTTTCGTTCAAAGTGCCATTTAGTGGAAGCCTATGGTTGATTACTACTCTCTCTAAACTTCCAGTACTGTATCTGTGATTTCTCGTGGTGTACATTCAATGCAATCACGTTAACCAAATTTTTGTCTAGTTAAGATATGTACTCTTTATTAGTAACGAGTCGAACTTGGCATCCACAAGGACCAAAAGGAAAAGCATGTTTCATGCTTGGAAATGGAAGGATTGCTTAGGATGGTGTTTAACAGTCTATCATAGCTATTAATTGTTTATTATGTTTTCCTTCTTTCTCTAAAACTAATTAATGGGTAATCAAGCAATTTCCCGTTTTGACTTTTTTATGCTTCTTTTTTTCCGGGATGATGCAGGGAAATAAGAGGCCGTTGTGGAAAGCAGGTAGCTTACCCATTGGGTGGATCACATTTTACAAGCACATAGTAGCTTTAGATGGAAGATGGCATGTTCTTGGGTTGGGTTATGACTCTGGAGTCAGACAGGCTGACATTGAGCAAGCTGCAGTTATACATTTTGATGGAATCTCGAAACCATGGTTGGATATTGGGCTCGCGAAGTATAAGCACTATTGGACGAAATACGTCAAGTACGAACATCCCTACCTGCAACAGTGCAATATCCATGAGTAGTTAGATTACATACGAGAGTTCTTGAATTCGTCTCACATATTGGTTGCTTTACACTGTAGGAACCATACACAATCACTTAATTCTTTCCCATTCTTCAACAATTTTCCAATGTAAATTTTAGTTCGTCTTTTATTTTTATTAAATTTTACTAATGGAGATGAGCCTGTCGATTGAATTGAAGCAAAATTAGTTAAAAATAATCAGGCTTAAACATAGTGTTCATGTTTTTATTTTCTTCTCCCTATTTGTGTGAGATGTTCTAGAGCGAGAGAGAGAGAGATTGTGAATGGATGATGTTACACGTGGCAAATTCTGGCTGGTTTATTACCGACAAATGGATATCCATCTATCCTTGCTATGTGGTTAATAACGAAGACATGCTTCACTGTGAAAACAAATTGAAACCCCTGAGAATCCTTACTGCAACATTCAAGTGGGCGTGCTAAAATTCATAAATCCCATTTAATAAAAATGGCAGCCAATTCTGCTTTCACTCCAATCTCGTCCGTCATCAGCCCAGCGCTCCTGCAGAAGGGATCTGTGGCAAGTCCTCATGTTCTTGGTAAGAATACGTCGTGCTCGTCACATATTTCTCATCTTTAATATATATATTTTTTTATTACAGACCAAACAGGCCCTTAATGTGTGCTTTTAACATTCACTGCTTGATTTTTAGTAGCGTTGGTCCCTCCTGAGTTTCTGATCTTCGTAGTTCACGGGTTTATTAATTCTAGATTTTACATACGAAGTCTTATAGCTAATGAATTCATATTTATCCATTATGATTGATTGAGTCATGACCACTACATTTATAGAAAGATTCAATGAAATCCAAATCTCTTAACACTATATTGTTTTGGGCGATTCTCCCTTTACCGAATGTTATAAAATTTTGGGTTTTCTTGATCATATCTTCTAAAATAGAAACATTCTAAACACTTTGATTGCTCATTCATTTTGCCATGTCATCTTGGATATGCAAATTTCCCTTTATCCAAGCATCTCATATAATGAACAAAAGGGGTAAACCATCGGGGTTTTCTATAATGAGATTTTTCTATCTTATTTTGTAAAAGATATATAGTTTTCCCCATTGGTAAAAATGACATGATTTTAGCGCCAAAGATGATGTCATTCCACATTTCTGTCTTCCATCTAGGATGACATAGTTTTGGGATCCTAATAGAGTGATTAAACCGAAACTAAAAACAAACACGAGTTACCAATTAGGAATAAATGAACTTCAATAGCTAACACAAAACTATAAATTAAGCGACTAATATGTAACTTTATTATAAGTCGAGTGACCAACAATATTCTCTACTCGATTCAAAACCGAGTGCAGGGCTGCCACCAATGGCAAAGATGGGAAAAGTGAGGTGCTCCATGGAGGGAAAACCTCAGGGCAGTGAGTCAAACTTGGGCACGGGCGCATCTTTGATTGCAGCCACTTGTGCTGCCGCGATGTCCAGCCCAGCCATGGCTCTTGTAGATGAGAGATTGAGCACAGAAGGAACTGGGCTGCCCTTTGGTTTAAGCAACAATCTTCTTGGTTGGATCATTTGTGGTGTCTTTGGTTTGATTTGGGCTTTCTACTTCATCTACACTTCTGATCTTGTAGAGGATGAAGAGTCTGGGCTCTCTCTTTGAGCGAAAAAACTGATGTGTTCTAGCACGGATACATAGGGATTATGTCATGTGGGAGCGTGTGCATTCGGAGTCGCTAGGTGTCTTGATTCTGACTTTGTCGATGGAACATTTGTAAAAGGAATTTTCATTCTAAATTATCATCGTTATATATTATTTCTTAAATTATCTCTAATTCTTCGTGACATGTTTGACATTGTGAATTGAATAATTTCGAATGAGTTTGAAAAACAAAAACATTTGATTATTTATCAATTCTTACCACTGACCTAGCTAAGTGTTAGAGATTTTGATGGCTCTCACTATTCAATATTGATCATGCATTTCTACGACTTGAGATATTTGAATTTTTTTTTTTTTCATTTTCCGGTTTATAAAAACTAAAATGTCCACATTTAGGCATTCATTTAATTTTGTTAATGGCTAACCAAATTCGAAACCAGTATTACCCTAATGAAAAATACCCATTGAGATTTGTAGGTGAAACTCTTCAAATCTTTTGCAACCTTGTTGGGTTATGTCTCTTTTGATTAATAAAGATCATACCTAGAAAAATCATATTTACATATTAATTTATATATATTTTATGATATGCTACGTTGATGTTTATATATCATATATACTACATATGAAACATTACCAAAAATACTGATTTTTGAAATGTTTCAATTAAACATTTTGTAATCGAAAATTAAATATGAGCTATGAGCACATAATTTTTAAATTTTTTTTGAAACACAAATCATTAGAACACCCTCTTTGAGTTTTCAAGATCACCAGGGAAGACTGATGGGGGTTCGGATTCTCCAACAATATATATAAAATCAAACTCACGAAAACAACAAGAAGGAGGACATAAACATGACCTCCCAAAGCGAGAAATGCAACAAATAAAGGAAAGAGAAAAAAAGGAAAAGTACTACTTCCAATGCAAAAATAGCGAGGAAGGATAAGGCTAACTTCTTCTAATGTCTGTCCACGCGCACAAGGGAGGCGGACAAGGAAACAAGAAGGGAAGTAAGTGGGGCCCCCGTGAGCTGTTATGGGCCTTATATTGAAAACCCAAAAGTCCTAAATTCCAAACGTGTTCTCACGTGTGGAAAGGCCCACAATATCACAATCAACATTTAATTCCTCACACGTGTGGACCATCTCTATTTTAATTCATGCTTTTATTCCTTGTACATAGGATCCGTAGCTTATATACATGCAATGCACACCCCCACTCTTTACTCCTTCCTTACAATTTACATAGTGGCAAGATTATCTTCCATCTGCAATGTCTCCGTCACTCTTGTTTTTCATTCTAGAGTTTTGTTATTTTTGGCACATTGGTGTACAGCCCCTCGTACGAGGGAAAGCGAAAAACAGTTGGCAAACGATCGATTTTGAGTGAACTCAATTCGACAAAACAAATGGCTAATGTAGTGTTTGGCAAATATTTTTAAGATAACAGATGATTCAAACATTATTTTTATCCTCACATTTAGCTTTTGTTTGGTAGAAATTCAAATTCAAATTTTAATCTAAGTCAAAGTCAGCAGTTAATTTTAATAATATAGTTTATAGGACTCATAACTTTTCAATTATACATTTTACCAGCTTTTATCAAAATCTGCTAAAAATCTGATTTTTATCCCATCGAACACAGGCTTCGTAAGATTTACAGCTCTTAATCTTATTTTTTTTTTTTCATTTTCCGGTTTATAAAAACTAAAATGTCCACATTTAGGCATTCATTTAATTTTGTTAATGGCTAACCAAATTCGAAACCAGTATTACCCTAATGAAAAATACCCATTGAGATTTGTAGGTGAAACTCTTCAAATCTTTTGCAACCTTGTTGGGTTATGTCTCTTTTGATTAATAAAGATCATACCTAGAAAAATCATATTTACATATTAATTTATATATATTTTATGATATGCTACGTTGATGTTTATATATCATATATACTACATATGAAACATTACCAAAAATACTGATTTTTGAAATGTTTCAATTAAACATTTTGTAATCGAAAATTAAATATGAGCTATGAGCACATAATTTTTAAATTTTTTTTGAAACACAAATCATTAGAACACCCTCTTTGAGTTTTCAAGATCACCAGGGAAGACTGATGGGGGTTCGGATTCTCCAACAATATATATAAAATCAAACTCACGAAAACAACAAGAAGGAGGACATAAACATGACCTCCCAAAGCGAGAAATGCAACAAATAAAGGAAAGAGAAAAAAAGGAAAAGTACTACTTCCAATGCAAAAATAGCGAGGAAGGATAAGGCTAACTTCTTCTAATGTCTGTCCACGCGCACAAGGGAGGCGGACAAGGAAACAAGAAGGGAAGTAAGTGGGGCCCCCGTGAGCTGTTATGGGCCTTATATTGAAAACCCAAAAGTCCTAAATTCCAAACGTGTTCTCACGTGTGGAAAGGCCCACAATATCACTATCGACATTTAATTCCTCACACGTGTGGTTAAAGGAAAGAGAAAAAAAGGAAAAGTACTACTTCCAATGCAAAAATAGCGAGGAAGGATAAGGCTAACTTCTTCTAATGTCTGTCCACGCGCACAAGGGAGGCGGACAAGGAAACAAGAAGGGAAGTAAGTGGGGCCCCCGTGAGCTGTTATGGGCCTTATATTGAAAACCCAAAAGTCCTAAATTCCAAACGTGTTCTCACGTGTGGAAAGGCCCACAATATCACAATCAACATTTAATTCCTCACACGTGTGGACCATCTCTATTTTAATTCATGCTTTTATTCCTTGTACATAGGATCCGTAGCTTATATACATGCAATGCACACCCCCACTCTTTACTCCTTCCTTACAATTTACATAGTGGCAAGATTATCTTCCATCTGCAATGTCTCCGTCACTCTTGTTTTTCATTCTAGAGTTTTGTTATTTTTGGCACATTGGTGTACAGCCCCTCGTACGAGGGAAAGCGAAAAACAGTTGGCAAACGATCGATTTTGAGTGAACTCAATTCGACAAAACAAATGGCTAATGTAGTGTTTGGCAAATATTTTTAAGATAAGGTAAAATAATATTACAAGTAAATTTAAAATATTTTCTTATTTTTTAATCAGACACGTTTTCCATCAATCTATTAATTCAAAATATATTCTTAAGAACTCAAATAGGCCGCTAAAATCATTTTGATCTAGAGCTTGTTTGGGAGTGATTTTGAGAATTGATTTTTTGATCATTAGGAGAAAAGTGGGGTCAACCTGTGAGAGAAGAAGTCAAATATGACGGTTGGAATAGTGCACTCTTTACTCCTTCCTTACAATTTACATAGTGGCAAGATTATCTTCCATCTGCAATGTCTCCGTCACTCTTGTTTTTCATTCCAGAGTTTTGTTATTTTTGGCACATTGGTGTACAGCCCCTCGTACGAGGGAAAGCGAAAAACAATTGGCAAACGATCGATTTTGAGTGAACTCAATTCGACAAAACAAATGGCTAATGTAGTGTTTGGCAGATATTTTTAAGATATCAGATGATTCAAACATTATTTTTATCCTCACATTTAGCTTTTGTTTGGTAGAAATTCAAATTCAAATTTTAATCTAAGTCAAAGTCAGCAGTTAATTTTAATAATATAGTTTATAGGACTCATAACTTTTCAATTATACATTTTACCAGCTTTTATCAAAATCTGCTAAAAATCTGATTTTTATCCCATCGAACACAGGCTTCGTAAGATTTACAGCTCTTAATCTTAAAAAAAATAAAATGAAATAAAATGAAAATACTTACTATTTGTCGAACAGATTTTTTATCGAATAAAAATAATTCAGACGAGTAACTTCAAAAATTCAACTATGAAGGTCCACAAATAGATGTCACCATTAATTTCCAAAGCCTTATCTAATCAACTTAAAAGAAAGGGACCATTTTGTTTCTGGTCCATAAAAATTTTGCGAAGACGAGATTTGTCGTGATTGTTAGAAATTGGATTTTTTTTTTTTTTTGGTGCGCATGTTATTTTACTATGAGGGCATAGAGAATAAGAGACTCGAAGAGTTTACAAATCTTTATGAAATTTGAAGTGATTTTTTTATTTTTAATAAAGTTTGATTAAAAGTGAGTATGAGAAAAAATAAATTCAAATAAACTGTGCCAAACAAAAGTTATTTGAAGATTTATAAAAGGTTAATATAAAGTTTTTCTACGAAAATAGAATAAGAGACAGATACTTCAAGAGATAATTTCAATCAAATGAAAATTAGTTTTAAAAAATTATAATTTTTATTAATGTATTTTCATTGACCATGGAGTATAAGGTGGAATTATTTCTAATTTAAATGATTCCAACTTGAAATTTTTACCCCAAACGACTTCAATAATTGAATGAGGAAATTTAAGGACAATAAGAAATGAATTCCCAAAAAAGAGTCAATGGAGTATTTTGAAGATTGAACTTGGCTACATAAAGTATTTGTTTCTCGCAAAATTTTTTATATTAGGTCCCTATTTGTTTACCATTATTTGGACGTTAAAATAAAAAAACATAACCGTTATCCATCACATCAAATCATCATATTTGCATTTCTATATCTAGGGTGGGATCCGTAACGATTATATTATTCATTCTCATTCTTACATAATGAAAAACAAACGGATTATGTTTCAATAATCACCATTCGTTTAAAGTTGACTCGATCTCTCTTTAAACATTATTGTCGTAGCCTTGCACCTCACGTCCCATCTCACCTGATATTCAAACTAGCTCAACCGTAAAACTTCAAACACGTCTCCTAGCCACCATCCGTCATTGTTCACAATCATCGTCGACCCTACTCAAAAAATTCTCTCGGTGATTAACAACGATCACAAACAAATTTTCAGTTAGTATAGTATTAAAAAAAAAAAAAAAGAGAGTTTTTAATAAATATGATTATCAACATAAATTTCATTAAAATATAAAGTAATGAAAATACTAATAAAGAGAAAACTCAATTATCCTATATTGGTAATTTTCAATGCATCAACGACCGATAATGTTTGTCAATGAAGTTGTTGATAATTCGATTGTATTTTGATATCCGGTCGTTGAAAGAGAATAAGCTCCAATTCGGTAGCAATTTTTCATCCAAAAAAATAATTTTTTTATTGTTATTTCATTATTTCAATCGTCATTTTTTACTTTTTCACTCACAGATGTGACCTAATTTTCTCTCTAACGGTCAAAAAATCAATTCTCATAATCATTATCGAACATGCCCTAAGTCATTGTCATTGATTTAAATGTTTGATAAATTTTTACTATAATTTCTTCAACTCGTCAAACTTCAATTTTAACTACACATAAAATTCACAATTTTTATCAACTTCTCAACAACATAAATTATCATTTAAATCACATAAATTTTCATCTGATCAACAAATTATCATTCTTAGAAATTATACTTGTCTTAAAACTTGATTTTGACTAATTGTTGTCACCATGTTCATACACTCAAAACCCTTTAGTTTTTTTTTTGACAAGTATTGACTATGATAAATTGAAAATTATTTCGAAAATCTACGACTAATATCCTAACCATACTTTTAAAACAAAACTGCTCATTGAAATCACACAACATTTTCAAAAAAATATTTCTCTCTTCTTTTTAATCTCACATTTTTCAGTAAAATAATATTACAAGTAAATTTAAAATATTTTCTTATTTTTTAATCAGACACGTTTTCCATCAATCTATTAATTCAAAATATATTCTTAAGAACTCAAATAGGCCGCTAAAATCATTTTGATCTAGAGCTTGTTTGGGAGTGATTTTGAGAATTGATTTTTTGATCATTAGGAGAAAAGTGGGGTCAACCTGTGAGAGAAGAAGTCAAATATGACGGTTGGAATAGTGAAATAACGATCAAAAAATCAATTTTTTATGTGAAAAAATCGGGCTCAAACAAGCTCCTAGTACATTGAACGTTCAATTTACAAAGTGGGTGAATCTATCAAATTCAAATAATTAAAACTATTTAAATTCCTTTTTAATAAAAAAAATATCACATTAGATTTTTTTGATCAATTCCCAAAGATAAGAGAGGGAACAGAGAATTGAATTGTGGTTTGATCATAGTCCACATGTCCTTCCACCCTATTCTTTCATATACAAACCCAATCACAATTCCTAAATCGGGTCCCACTAATGACAATTCACATGGCCAATCAGAATTCATCGCCCGACGTAACGGGACCCATCTCACATGGGCTGCTCAAGCGGATCGACGGTCATAAATTCACACCAACCACCCCATCTTCACCGTTTATCCCGGCCCACAGACTTCAATTACAGCGGTTGGAAGTGTCCCACCTCTGTTCCCTCTTTGCACTACACTAGACTTTAATTTGTCATTCATTTGACCAGCAGATTTAGCTGTATTAACAAATTTATGTCCCACGCGAAAATTATTACACTCGTTTGACACACGAGAAAAACTTCAGCAGACACCGTCCTTTTCGGTGCAATTGTCGAATGAAAAGTAATCATTTTATTGAGTGATCCACCCTTATCAGAGATGAAGCCACCTCAAGACTTATTTTTCTCTTTTTTTCTTTCTTTCCATCTCAAGTATCGAGATGGTTTCATCTCACAGGATGAGGTGATAACTTCTCATTCGATAATCACATCACATAGAACGATGCGATTGTTCCACTAAAGTTTTTGCAATAAATTTAAAATCATTATTAAAAATTAAATTTAAATAAACATATTTATTTTGTCTCGGACAAACAAGAAGGTCTTGTATTCGTGAGTCATAAGGTGGAATTATTTCTAATTTAAATGATTCCAACTTGAAATTTTTACCCCAAACGACTTCAATAATTGAATGAGGAAATTTAAGGACAATAAGAAATGAATTCCCAAAAAAGAGTCAATGGAGTATTTTGAAGATTGAACTTGGCTACATAAAGTATTTGTTTCTCGCAAAATTTTTTATATTAGGTCCCTATTTGTTTACCATTATTTGGACGTTAAAATAAAAAAACATAACCGTTATCCATCACATCAAATCATCATATTTGCATTTCTATATCTAGGGTGGGATCCGTAACGATTATATTATTCATTCTCATTCTTACATAATGAAAAACAAACGGATTATGTTTCAATAATCACCATTCGTTTAAAGTTGACTCGATCTCTCTTTAAACATTATTGTCGTAGCCTTGCACCTCACGTCCCATCTCACCTAATATTCAAACTTGCTCGACCGTAAACCTTCAAACACGTCTCCTAGCCACCATCCGTCATTGTTCACAATCATCGTCGACCCTACTCAAAAAATTCTCTCGGTGATTAACAACGATCACAAACAAATTTTCAGTTAGTATAGTATTAAAAAAAAAAAAAAAAAAAAAGAGAGAGTTTTTAATAAATATGATTATCAACATAAATTTCATTAAAATATAAAGTAATGAAAATACTAATAAAGAGAAAACTCAATTATCCTATATTGGTAATTTTCAATGCATCAACGACCGATAATGTTTGTCAATGAAGTTGTTGATAATTCGATTGTATTTTGATATCCGGTCGTTGAAAGAGAATAAGCTCCAATTCGGTAGCAATTTTTCATCCAAAAAAATAATTTTTTTATTGTTATTTCATTATTTCAATCGTCATTTTTTACTTTTTCACTCACAGATGTGACCTAATTTTCTCTCTAACGGTCAAAAAATCAATTCTCATAATCATTATCGAACATGCCCTAAGTCATTGTCATTGATTTAAATGTTTGATAAATTTTTACTATAATTTCTTCAACTCGTCAAACTTCAATTTTAACTACACATAAAATTCACAATTTTTATCAACTTCTCAACAACATAAATTATCATTTAAATCACATAAATTTTCATCTGATCAACAAATTATCATTCTTAGAAATTATACTTGTCTTAAAACTTGATTTTGACTAATTGTTGTCACCATGTTCATACACTCAAAACCCTTTAGTTTTTTTTTTGACAAGTATTGACTATGATAAATTGAAAATTATTTCGAAAATCTACGACTAATATCCTAACCATACTTTTAAAACAAAACTGCTCATTGAAATCACACAACATTTTCAAAAAAATAATTTTCTCTCTTCTTTTTAATCACACATTTTTCGGTAAAATAATATTACAAGTAAATTTAAAATATTTTCTTATTTTTTAATCAGACACGTTTTCCATCAATCTATTAATTCAAAATATATTCTTAAGAACTCAAATAGGCCGCTAAAATCATTTTGATCTAGAGCTTGTTTGGGAGTGATTTTGAGAATTGATTTTTTGACCATTAGGAGAAAAGTGGGGTCCACCTGTGAGAGAAGAAGTCAAATATGACGGTTGGAATAGTGAAATAACGATCAAAAAATCAATTTTTTATGTGAAAAAATCGGGCTCAAACAAGCTCCTAGTACATTGAACGTTCAATTTACAAAGTGGGTGAATCTATCAAATTCAAATAATTAAAACTATTTAAATTCCTTTTTAATAAAAAAAATATCACATTAGATTTTTTTGATCAATTCCCAAAGATAAGAGAGGGAACAGAGAATTGAATTGTGGTTTGATCATAGTCCACATGTCCTTCCACCCTATTCTTTCATATACAAACCCAATCACAATTCCTAAATCGGGTCCCACTAATGACAATTCACATGGCCAATCAGAATTCATCGCCCGACGTAACGGGACCCATCTCACATGGGCTGCTCAAGCGGATCAGACGGTCATAAATTCACACCAACCACCCCATCTTCACCGTTTATCCCGGCCCACAGACTTCAATTACAGCGGTTGGAAGTGTCCCACCTCTGTTCCCTCTTTGCACTACACTAGACTTTAATTTGTCACTCATTTGACCAGCAGACTTAGCTGTATTTACAAATTTATGTCCCACGCGAAAATTATTACACTCGTTTGACACACGAGAAAAACTTCAGCAGACACCGTCCTTTTCGGTGCAATTGTCGAATGAAAAGTAATCATTTTATTGAGTGATCCACCCTTATCAGAGATGAAGCCACCTCAAGACTTATTTTTCTCTTTTTTTCTTTCTTTCCATCTCAAGTATCGAGATGGTTTCATCTCACAGGATGAGGTGATAACTTCTCATTCGATAATCACATCACATAGAACGATGCGATTGTTCCACTAAAGTTTTTGCAATAAATTTAAAATCATTATTAAAAATTAAATTTAAATAAACATATTTATTTTGTCTCGGACAAACAAGAAGGTCTTGTATTCGTGAGTCGTTCTTTTAATTGAAAAATTGGATTTAATCTAAGATGTGGGAAGTAATTGTTTTATCAAGTGATCCACCCTTATCAATGAGGTGAGGCCACCTCAGAATTTATTTTTCTCTTTTTTCTTTCTTTCCATCTCAAGTATCGAGGTGGTTTCACCTCATAGGACGAGGTGATAACTTCTCATTCGATAATCACATCACATAGGACGATGCGATCGTCCCACTAAAGTTTTTGCAATAAATTTAAAATCATTAAAAATTAAATTTAAATAAACATATTTATTTTGTCTCGGACAAACAAGAAGGTCTTGTATTCGTGAGTCATTCTTTTAACTGAAAAATTGGATTTAGAGTCCGTTTGGTGCACATTTTTTAGATGAAAATGCATTTTAAACATCATATCGTGGGTCCCTCATTAGAGTGTAGAAGTCAAAAATTGTGTGCTGATGTGACGGAAAAAATGCATTTTTGGCTTCAAAAATGAGTACCAAACAGGGGCTTAATCTAAGATGTGGGAAGTGTTAAAAATGAAATTTAAATAAATAAACAAACGTGTGCTGTCTCTTTTATTTTAAATTTTTAGATGAATTGATTTAACAGTCGTTGGTTAATTTTGGTCGCTATCGCACGACGAGACGCCCACGGAGAGTGGTCACCCAGACATTGTCTCACCTCCAATCATCCTATAAAACTTTATTGTAACTCTCCCAATTTCCACACCTCAAACTCACAATCCTCCATCAAAATTTCCTGAAATCACAAGAATTCATCAGAATCTCAAAAACCCTAAGCAGTTTTTTCTTCAACAAGGTTTTGATCTGTTTTCAAGATGGAAAGAGCAGCAGTTTATGATAATGAGCTTAATTTGAAGGCAACTGAATTGAGATTAGGATTACCAGGTGCAGATGAATCTGAGAAACAATCTTCAAGAAACAATAAGAGATCTTCAGCAGAAATGGATGATTCACGTGACAAGGATGAGCAAGAATCTGCCCCAGCTCCAAAGTAAGTGCTTTTTGCCAAGAAATATGTAACGAAGTCTTGTTTCTTATATCGTTGAATTTTGTCTATTACTTCATATCAAAACGTGTTCTGATTGAGTTACGTTGTAATGTTTAGGGCACAAGTAGTTGGCTGGCCTCCGGTTAGATCGTACCGGAAAAACATTCTGCACCAGAAAAATGAATCAGATTTATCTGGGATTTTTGTAAAAGTGAGCATGGATGGAGCTCCTTATCTAAGGAAGATCGATCTTAAGGTTTACATAAACTACCAAGATCTGCTCAAGGCCTTGGAGAATATGTTCAAATGCTCGATCGGTAAGAACCCTAATTAAGTTTCTTTAACACAACCCCTGAAAACATATCCATGTAGCCGACTCCAAATTTACGTTACTATTTTATATATTTCAGGGGTGTATTCAGAGAGAGAAGGGTACGATGGATCTGAATTTGCACCAACTTACGAAGACAAGGATGGTGACTGGATGCTGGTCGGGGATGTTCCATGGGACATGTTTATTACTTCTTGCAAAAGGCTAAGAATAATGAAAGGGTCGGAAGCTAAAGGTTTGGGATGCCTATAGACACACAAGGGAGAAATTACATAAAAGATGTAGTTCAAAGAGTTTCATGCATCGAGGAAAAACCCTTCTCTTAGCTTGGGTTCCCCATGAAATATGTCAGCATTACACGAGATCGAACAGTATAATAGACGGGATATTAATAGGTTCATGTTATCCAACACCGATATAGAGATGTGCAATTGGACGGGATACAAATTCATGGCTGGTTTAGGGCAGGAAAGACATCTAGATTTGTACAAATGAAAGATTGCCTCTTTTTCATTTTTTATCCATTTTTTGTGTTTTCATCCTTTTGAGGATTTGTATGTATTTATACGAGTATACATGGTACAATACTAAATCCGATAATATATTTTGTTATCTTTACCATAATTCCTTACCCTTTTGAAAAGGGAAAAAGATAAACTCTTCGACAGATCATAATTCTAAAAATTTATATCCTTAAATCCGTTCCATAAAGAGTTCCATGAGATGAACATATTACTTATCATGGTAATTCTCTATAAATTTAAGTAGAATGTATGAATTTTTTATTTTTTTTTTTAATTTTTTTTGGTGTTATGCTAGGTTCATTACAAAATACACTAGAAAAATCACACACGAGCAGATCTATTGCCAGTTGCTCCGACTAGTTGTGTCGATTTATGCCCCTCTTCTCATACCGATACTGCATTTTTGGCATTCCACTTATTCATTGCAACATTTGCTACAAGATCAAATGCATTTAGATCTTAAACGACAACAACCACATCGTTCAGCCATAAGTTGAGATCCAGAATTGTTCAAGGGATTAAAAATAAAATAAAATAATAAAAAAATCCCATCAGCACAGCTAAGAACAGAACAGAAGTGCTTTCAAGTAATAAAATTACAGTTAAAATCTACCACAGATTCTAATAACCTGAAATTCAGTTTGCAATAAGACCCATATATTTTATTCCATGAATATAAGAAATCTTTCGTGTCATGTAGTGTTTTTCACTTTCCAAATTAGAATACGCTGATAGAGCTCATCACAGAACAGAGAATTTAACCAAAAATAATTAAAAGTCTTTCATTATTGAAGAGCCTTGCTTATAATAGAGTGGTTCTGAACGATGTCACATGGCTAAATTCTCCAGGCAGGGGCAGAGCCAGCATCTGATGAGCCTTTGAGGCCTACTGGCTCCACTAAAAAATTGCTTTTTTCCTTATATTGGGCTTGGATACGCCACTGCTTCAGGCCATCAAATAATCATTTACGTGATTGACAATTCAATTATTGAGGCTAATTTTTCAATTATGAATTATCAAAGAAGGAAACAATCTAGTGATGGAATCTTGAAGACAAACAAGGCATCAAATAATATCACAACACTTATTTCTAGATTATGAATTATTCTGTTCTGCGATGAGACTGATATCTAGATTATGAACAATATCAGCATAATCAAACAAATCAAATATCAAAATTGAAGTCTTGAAGAGTATATTAAATAAGAAAGAATTTCTACCTCTGATAAATAACTACTTCTATGATGTCAAGAATCAATTATGTTGTAGGAGGGAGATAGATATTAAATAAACAAGATTGTCCTCTATGTAGATTAAACTTTTGGATGAAATGATTCAATATAAAACTAAGCACATGGAGTTTTTGAGTTCAAATCTTGTTCACTCTACCCATTTATGCACATGGTGCTTGCAGGCCTTTGATGAAAAAAAAAAAAAAAAAAAAAAAAAAACTCGTTAAAGACATAATTTAAATAAATAAGCACCGGTCAAAATATATCCTAACAATCAAAACTATACAAAAGAACAATATGGGCTGAAATTATGACCAGAAAGTGATAACTATTAAGTACGTCGGACACCATAAGCTGCTAAAAAGGCTCGAGTCTATCAGCAGATACACATGCATGCTAGAACTGTGATCAAGAAACGATTCCATCCATGAATCCAGTATAGCAAGCTGTGATTTCACCCATGGTGGATTGTACCTGCTTTCCACCCATAATGCTTCACCAGTATCTTTGTGCTTGAAGTCTAGGTAGTTTGGGCTCCTCTGTAATCACGAATACATTACAGAGAGTAAATTTCACATAATTTACTGGTTGTAAACAAAATGAAAAGGAAATCTGGATGCAATTGAATAATTTTAGCATGTGCACGGTAGTAGAGCATAAGAAATATCTGTGATTATGTTGACTTCTGGTACAACAGCACGATTTAGATTTTGGATTAACAGAAAAAGCTCAAGAATCTTAATTTCAATTAAATGGACACCTCACTTGTTATATCAGCATTAATCATTAAAATATGGAAAATGAGAAAAGTAATGGTAAGTTTCCTACTAACTAGAAAAGTAGGAAAAATTTCAGGAACAAAGACTTATAAGTATCAGCATAGAAGAAATTCTTATACCTCCTTACGAAAACCAATTACAAAAGCATTATTATTTAGGGACTTCAAAACTCGGATTGACCTAGCCCCTGTTTAGGCTCCATAAATTTCAAAATGCATTTTTCTTACTCTTCTTTTCAACCGTACATTCTCTAATAAATTAATATTACACATAAATTCAAAATATTTTATTCTTTTTTTAACCATACATTCTTCAAAAAATCACTATTAAAATATACATTTTTTCCCTAATCTAATTATAATGGAGTTCAAACGAGGACCTAATCTCCCTATCTTTTGTCTTTGTTGTAATTGCATGCTTCGAAATGACATTTCCTCAAATGAATCATCACGAGATCACGCATGTTAAAGACCTTTTTAAGACGGTATTTGTCAGCTTACCTTTATATTTCAGATTAGCACCTCTTGATGTACTTGATGAGCATCGATAACCTCCATTCATTTTTTAAGAGGTGTCAGAACAATCTTCTTCGTAATACCACCAAAATATTTAAGTGTTGAGTCCGTTATTGCAAGTGATGCATACATCTTAGTGCTAAAGTTGTCCCAAAAGTACATGGCAAGCATCCATTTCTACAGATGTCGCACGATCTTATTTTTATAGTACTTTCCAATAGAAAGTGAGATTTAACCTACCTACATTATCTGGACATGCAATCCCTATTTAGCCCACGAGATCCTTTACTGAGGGGTATTTTCATCTTCAAGTTAAAGCTTTTACTCATGACTTAGATACCTTATTCTCACTACTCCCATTGTGTACGATCACCTTGCATAATTGTTTTCGATGTTGCATTTAGCTAGAGAAATCTTGTGAAACTGCTAATATAGGCATTAACCATAGAGGAATCCTATCTTACTAACATCGTGATAACTGCCAAAATGGGAAAAACTTATAATAACCAAAATAGTAGTACTACTACTACAATCCTAATAATAGTAATAAAAAAAGGTAAGAAAACTAAAGATAAGGGACTCCTAATAACTAGCAACATAGAAAAATTAAGTTCATTTATCATAAGTGGCATTGTCGGATTGTCCTACATCAATTTCTCCCCGGGCTGACTGCATAATTTATCCTTTACATCCAGTAATTGGACTTTCCCGTGCGTAAGAATCCAAAACACAGAATCGAAAAAGTGTGATACATCATGCTAATGCTCATCTGAATAGGCACAGTGCTATTCAAGTTGTATGGAAGGTTTTGAGTAGGAAATACCGACATAAAGAGTTGCAATAAACAACAAATGTCTATATCCTTTTAAAGCAAGAAGTAAAGAGACTGCCTTGTTTTTCCTATTGTGCCACCATTCTAGTGGATTAGCAAAGAAAGCTTTCCATATTTCTTCAGAGATACTGTGGCATTTGCAGCATAATTGTTTTGCTTTCTACCTGCGAGGTAATATAGAAATCTCTCAAAATAGGAAAAACAAACTAGCAAATGAGAGGAAAATATGCAAAGAGAAGTGGGTAGGGGACAATAATTGCCAGGTGTAGAGGAATTAGAGTCACCATTGTACAATGTAACTAGGGAGGGGCCCCTTCTACAAAATTTAGTAGCCGAACAACTACCTACAAAAATATAGCATATTGTACAAATGAGATATTAGAAAATAATTCCCCCAGATTTCCAGGAATATGTAAATAAGAAAGATGTCAGAAACCTTATAATAGGTCTGCTGCGTCCCGTCTTCATTTTAACAGTTTCTGAGACGTATATTAGTTGGCCTTTCTCTACATGCTCTTAAGCAATATGCGCTATCTCAATCCAGAATATCAAGTTAATCTTGAAAATTTCAACAAGATATAGTGACATATGTTTGGTAAAAATAAAATTGTAGCTGAAATATGCTTCTACATGGACGATGAAGCCAAAATAAAGCAGCTAAACGCCATTTTGTTAATGGCCAGTTTTTCATACGAGCATACTAAAGCATTTCCAAAGAAATATTTTATGTCAATGGTTGAAAACTTGAAATCATGGAGACATAACAAAAAAATCTTGAAGGCATTGAAATGGTAATGCTAGTTTTACATTATTACAAATACGTTGCTATCTGGAAATGGTGTTTTTCTTGGGTGATTCGAATGGAGAAATTGCACATGAGGTCGATGCTTGAATCACGATACGGTCTATTTTTAGTTTCCAAGTTTCACAGATTCACAGCAAATGCTAAAGACATGTTCTTCATCAATTTCAATTTTCATTGTTCAAAAGCACAATACTATTATAAAAACAGCTATTAGAGTAGCGTATTTTCTAACGCACTTAATGATGAGGAAATCCTTTTGACTAATTTTTGGGTTTTATTATTTTGGACTATTAAATTTGGTTTGTATTTGAGCTTGACCCAAGCCCATATTGGATGTGAAAGAGGGCAGACGATGGTTGGAAAAATTTACGGGTTTTGTTTCCATGGTCCTCTTCTCCATCTCTCTGGTATTATTCTTCTTCTGCTTCTTCCTCTTCTTTCCTTGTTATTAGACTATTTAGCTTAGCTGGCAATTGATTGTAGTTCCGTTAGTTGGTTAGATGAAGTTAGTTAGTTAAAGTTAGTTAGTTAACTGCAGTTTAGTGAGCTGGCATATTCTGTTAATGAACCAAGCTGTATTTATATCTGGTTGTACGACATTTTCAGATGAATGAATCATTTCTTTCATTTCATAGCTTTCTTCTTCAATATGGTATCAGAGCATTTCCTTTTTCTCTGAGAAATCCTATTTGATTTAAAGTTTCATTCATGGCTTTGAATGTACCGAACTCAACATCAAATAATCCTTCATCGTCAGTCAGTAATTCAGTAACTGATGATGGAACCAGCCAGTATTTTCTACATCATTCGGATAGTCCAGGCCTTGTCCTCGTTTCACAGCAATTGGTTGGGGACAACTATGCATCCTGGAGCCGATCGATGATGATAGCACTCTCAGTGAAAAACAAATTAGGATTCATTAATGGATCT